CTCGGATAAGCGCCTGGCGCTTTTAATTGGCGTGTGGCGCTTATATCCCCTGCTCGATTATAAGCGCACCCCCTGAAAAAACTTGTTTTATCATACGCGCACGTAAACTTTAAATTTTGAAATGTGTTCAAAACGCTGTAACGATTTTTGCTTTAGCAGGCGGATGTGTTGCAGATTCAGTTCCTTTCACATTCGGACCCTGCACTGGATGCGGGTCCAGTTAGCAGGAGCTGTCAGGAGCTGTCAGAAGCTGGATGTGAGTCAGATTGGGTGTATCTCCCTGCGCGCGCGAGAATTTCACAGACGACCCCATGTAACTTCGACTCGATTGAAAAGGCAAGCACGAGATCTACTGTTTGGTGTTAAAAAATATAAAAAAAAAGGTACTGTCATTTTATAAACGCCAGCGCTTATAAATTTACTCGATTTTAAGCCCACCCCCCTAAAAAATCTGCTTTATTATTGCCCCCCATGGGGGTATATCCGGAGTATGACGGTATAGCATTACACCCCCTCCCATTTAACGACCCGGGGGTCTATAATTTTGGGGGGTCCATTATCCGGGTAATTACCGTATTCCCCCGGATAGAAGACCTCCCCAAAATACAACACCCGCGGGTAACTAATTGTCAGTAGAGCTGCACTGTGAGATCCCCGATCGATCCTAGGGGGGGTTACAGGCGCGTTTGCCTGGGGGGTTATGGGCGCACTGACCCGCTACTTAACAAGCCCTTTTATCCCAATGGTCTAGTGGTTGGGATTCTGACATGGTATCAGAGGGGTCTCGGGTTCGAATCCCGGTGTATGCACATGTAGGCCGTTGCCACTGTGCTCAGTCCTGGGCCTCCCAGTGTGGGGGGGTGTCAGTAGAGCTGCACTGTGAGATCCCCGATCGATCCTAGGGGGGGTTACAGGCGCGTTTGCCTGGGGGGTTATGGGCGCACTGACCCGCTACTTAACAAGCCCTTTTATCCCAATGGTCTAGTGGTTGGGATTCTGACACTAATATGGGGGGGTCTTTTATTAAACCTCGATTTCGTTATACCCCCCCTTTGGGGGGTGATCAATATAAGACCCCCCCCCCCCCCCCCCCCTTTCCCCTATAGGGGGGTTTTCCATGTACTTTACCTTTGTTTCATTTGAAACCGAAACATTTTATAGTGCGAATTTGGCTTTCGGGCGTGAATTCCCGTGTCAGAGGGTTGATTTGCTGCGTCAGGGGGCGAGTTTGCCGCGTCAGGGGTGTCAGGTGGCAAAATTGCTGTGTGAGGGGGCGAAATTGTTGTGTTAGAGGGGCGAATTTTACAGTGACGGGCGAATTTGTTGTGACTGGTCAAGCTATCAACTTTCGCTGGCCTGGTGCTCACCAAAAGCAAACCCACAACTTTAGTATTATTTGTCGTGTTGAAAACACTAAAACAAAATATGCCATATGAAAAGACCCTGGTGTTATGATTTTTTTTTCTTTGTTAAGACCCCCCCCCCCCTTTTTTCTAGGGATTTAGCATAAGACCCTAAGGTCTTATATCCGGGGGAATACGGTACGGTACAACCCCAATTTTCCGACTTGCACGTTCGGTCGACATCCACGATGCTGAGGTGTCAGAGGTCAACTCGTGATCCCCGATTGATCATAGGGAAGGGTTACAGGCACGTTGGCCTGGGGGGTTATGGACGCACTCATCCGCTACACAAACAAGCCATTTTATCCCAGTGGTTAGTGGCTGAGATTCTGACACGGTATCAGAGCTAAGGTCTCAGGTTCGAATCCCAGTGTGTGCACTTCGGGTATCCAAGTGCGGGGGGGTGTCAGAGGTGTCAGAATATCATGTTTCTCTAGTCTGCAGTGGGGTACTCAATAGTGAGTACAACCCTGTTAGGGTTTCCTATATGTACTCCATTGCTTTCTAGTGCATTCATTCTCTCGTTCATTCTCACATGGTATAGAGCGATTTCGACCCTTGGGCCCACCACTAAAATATTTTTTTTCCTACCCGAGGCGCACGTCGCGCCTGCCCTTAACGGCCCTTCGCGGCCCCTCGTTAGGCCCCTTCGCGGCCCCTCGTACGGCCCCCTTCGCGGCCCCTCATTAGGCCCCTTCGCGGCCCCCCTCGTAAGGCCCCCTTTCGCGGCCCCCCCCTCGTAAGGCCCCTTCGCGGCCCCTAGTAAGGCCCTTCGCGGCCCCGTAAGGCCCCGTCAAGCCCCGTTTGCGGCCCCGTCAGGCCCCGTTTGCGGACCCGTTCGGCCCCGTCAGGCCCCGTACGGCCCCGTCAGGCCCTGTTTGCGGCCCCGTTCGGCTCCGTCAGGCCCCGTAAGGCCCCGTCAGGCCCCGTTTGCGGCCCCGTCAGGCCCCGTCAGGCCCCGTAAGGCCCCGTCCAGCCCCGTAAGGCCCCCCCAGTTTGCGGCCCCCGTTGCGGCGCGACTCGCGGCCCTGCCCCGACCCTGTCGCGGCCCTGTCCCGGCCCTACTGCGACCCAGCCCCGGCCCTACTTCGACCCTGTCGTGGCCCCGTCCCGGACCTGCCCCGACCCCGGCCCTGCCCCGACCCTGTCGCGGCCCCTCGTCGCGGCCCTGCCCCGGCCCTGTCGCGGCCCCGTCCCGGACCTGCCCCGACCCCAGCCCTGCCCCGACCCTGTCGCGGCCCTATCGCGGCCCTCCCCCTGCTATGCCCCGACCCTGCCCAGGCCCCGCCCTCCTCATGCCTGTCGTGGCGCACCAGGGGCCCGTGCACCGCCCCCCCCCCCCTTTTCCCGTCGCCTTGCGTGGCGAGCGGGGGGGGGGGGGGGGCGCGCAACCTGGGGGGGGCGCGCGTCGCCCCTTCTTCCGCCTGCTCTGGCGCCCTGGGAGGCCGCGCGTCGGCCCCCGTACTCCTCCCCCCCCCCCCCCCCCCCCCTCAGGTCGCCTCAACAGGCGACGGGAGGGGCGACCTGGGGGGGCCGCGCGTCGGAGCAGCCGCCCCTGGTGCAGCCGCCCCTGGAGCAGCCGCCCCTGGACCCAGAGCAGCCGCCCCTGGCCTCTGGAGCAGCCGCCCCGGGCCGCGCGTCGGAGCAGCCGCCCCTGGTGCAGCCGCCCCTGGAGCAGCCGCCCCTGGACCCAGAGCAGCCACCCCTGGCCCCTGGAGCAGCCGCCCCTGGCCCCTGGAGCAGCCGCCCCTGGTGCAGCCGCCCCTGGACCTCTGCAGCCGCCCCTGGAGCAGCCGCCCCTGGTGCAGCCGCCCCTGGAGCAGCCGCCCCTGGTGCAGCCGCCCCTGGACCTCTGCAGCCGCCCCTGGAGCAGCCGCCCCTGGTGCAGCCGCCCCTGGTGCAGCCGCCCCTGGAGCAGCCGCCCCTGGTGCAGCCGCCCCTGGAGCAGCCGCCCCTGGTGCAGCCGCCCCTAGACCTCTGCAGCCGCCCCTGGAGCAGCCGCCCCTGGTGCAGCCGCCCCTGGTGCAGCCGCCCCTGGTGCAGCCGCCCCTGGTGCAGCCGCCCCTGGTGCAGCCGCCCCGGGAGCAGCCGCCCCTGGTGCAGCCGCCCCTGGACCCCGCGCCGCCGCCCCTGGACCCGGTGCCGCCGCCTCCCTGTACTGCCCGTTGCTGCTCTCCCCCCCCCCCCCCGCCCCTTCTTCGTCTCCCTGCTGCGCGTGCAGCCGTGGTAAGGAGGGTATGGGGGTGGCGGGTATGGGGGTGATGGGTGGTATGTTTCCCTTCCCCTCCTCCTCCTTTGTCTCCCACTGCTGCAGCTGCCGCTGAGGGGGGTGGATGTGTGGGAGCCAAAGGCGTGGTGCTAGGGGGTGGGGTGTGAGTGAACCTAGGGGTGCAGCAGGGGGTGTGTGAATGGGGGGTGCGGCAGTAGAGGGAGGTTGGGTGGAGGTAGCTGTCTTGTCGTCCGCAGCACCTGTAGTCCGGTGCGCTGTCCTGGTAGCCCAGTCGTAGCCAGCTGCGCCAGTCGCCCGTGGGTCCGTTGCTCCTGCCGCTCGTCTTAGCCGCGGAGCCAGTTACTCCTGTAGTCCGGGGCGCTGTTCCGGTAGCCACTGTGCCAGTGTGACTCCTGTTGCCCGTGTGTCTGCAGCTTCAGCCGTCGCCTCCTATCTCCTCTCCTCTTACAGTCCCGCCTCCTCCTCCTCACTTGCCCTCTGTGATAGCCTCTAGCTTTACTTATTTATTGTGAATTTTAAACTGTTACTTCTTGTACTTGTGCTCAGAATGTGTGGTGACATTGTGATCCACCCTGAGCTTGCTTTGCTTTGCTTCTTGTGCTGATCATACCCCACTTTGACTATGGGGGTGTGTCAGAATATCATGTTTCTCTAGTCTGCAGTGGGGTACTCAATAGTGAGTACAACCCTGTTAGGGTTTCCTATATGTACTCCATTGCTTTCTAGTGCATTCATTCTCTCGTTCATTCTCACAAGAGGTCCACTAGGTGATCCCCCGATTGATGCTAGGAAAGGGTTACAGACACGTTGGCCTAGAGGGTTATGTGCGCACTCACCCGCTGTACAAACAAGCCATTTTATCCCAGTGGTTAGTGGTCGGGATTCTGACATGAGGCTCCTCGTATCGCCTTCGACTTTCCGATTGCCAAACCTGAACCGAACCTCATTTCCCGAGGTTCCCTCCTAGCTAGGGTAGTCACTATATAATTGCATGCCTTCATTATATTGTCAGTTCATCAAGTCACATCTTCGTTATTCGTTATCTTGCGCTCTCCCTTTTACAACTCGTAACAACTACCATATAGGTTTCATGAATATTTTATGCTCCACAACCTCTTCGGATTTCTTTAGCAGTACTACTGGTACTAAACTGACCATCCTTCTTCAACCGAGATTCCTTATTGCGTATGAGCCACCCATTCCTTTTTCCTACCCCGACCAATCCAGGGCGGCATTCACGGCTGACTGCCAGCCATTCCCGAATTCACCTATGGCTTTCCTCCCTCAAAATTAGTCCAGCGTAATCCGTCGCATCGCATCTCGTCATGGAGCAGATTCCCGCCGTCGCCAGCACGTCCGCCGAGGCGATGTATCGCGATGTCGTGCATCGCCGCTGGGCGCGCGCCTTTCTCTTCCACCTGCTCTCCATCGGCCCCTTCCTCTTCCTCTGGGCCGCGCCGCTCGTCGTCCGCGCGGGCCTCCTCCCATCGCTCCTCTCCTTCTTCTCGCTGCGCCTTTACCTCGCTTTCGCGATTTTTGATCTTTCGCAACTTCTTTTCGTTCTAGCTCACCACGCCATCGTCGTCGCAGACGCCCCTCCCCTCCCCTCCACTGCCTCCCTCCTCTCTTCCGCCGCGAATCTCGCCGGATTTGCCGGCATATCAGATCCACGCCCGTTCGTGCACCAAGACCAACAGATTCGCGCATCGCACGACGGGTTTCGCGGGCCCGCCAGCCAATGGGAGGCGGAAGCGGCTCGGGCGACGCTAGCTGGCCGCGCCAAGTTCGCTTCTCTTTGCGCCGCGGCGGGCGCCGCAGGTGCGATCGCGCTCTCGCTCTTCCGCGCGCAGCTTCTGGGCAGCACGGCGGAGACCGAATCCAACGACGAGTGGCGGCCAGACGGTTGGGCCGTGGCGGGCGAGGCGGGATTCGGCGGCGCGGTGGGGGTGCTGTTCGCGGCGTACCACGTGGTGCGGCGCGACTACCTCCTCGCGTTCCCCGTGCTGCAGGTGCGCCGCGCAGCTGCGCTCCACCCCGCCCACGTGTAGGTCTCTTCCACAAATGCGCCTTCATTCAATTGCCGCAGCTGCCGTGGTGCACGGCTACAAGGCGAGGGCAGCTGAGAGTTGGGAGTTGGCGCGGCAGTGCTGCACTCCATGACTCACCTCTCTATGCCTGTCTAAACCCACAACCCTATTGCCGCCCTCTCTATGCCATCCCCCATACCCCTTACAGCGCGCCCCGTTCTACCGATTCAAGACGACCCTCCCGCGCTGCGCCACGTCAGCAGCCACATTCGGGTGCATCACCGCGCTCCTCTACTCCCTCCTGCTCCGCCCGCTCCTGCTGCCGCTCCTCGCCACCGCCACCACCACCGCCACCGGCATCCCGCTCACCTTCCTCGCCGCCCCGCCTCTCTCCATCCGCGCACTGCTGCTCTCTCTGCTGGCCCGCCTGCACGGCGTGGCGTTCCTGGCCTTCTCCTGGGAGGCCGCTGCGGCCGCCACGAACATCTTCCTCACCCACCACCACCTCTTCCTCCCCGCGCCCTCCTCCCCCTCCTCCCCCCTCGCCCCCCTCCTCCTCGCCCTCTCCCCCTCCCCTGGCCCCGCAACTCCTCCATCCCCTGTCCCCCTGCCCCTCCTCGCCCTGCCCCGCCTCGTGCTCCACTGGGCGCTGCTCGACCTCTCGCTGCTCGCCGAATCAGAGGCTGACACGTGGCGCCGCGCGGCGCTGTTTGAGTCGCAGGAGGCGTACAGCGCAGTGGTGGCGGCGTGCATCCGCCCCATCGATGCCATGATGGCCCGAGTCGCTGCTGCTGCTGGTTATCCCACCGTTACCACTGCACTGCAGCAGCAGCAGCAGCAGCATTATTCCTTACAGTCACCCACGGCTGCATTCACAGCAGCCGGGTTTGCCTCTGCTGAAGGGATGAGATGGCGGCAGGGGAAGGGCGGAGGGGAGGGGGTGGAGGGGCAGGCGCTGCAAGGGGGAGAGGTCTTGGGAAGCGGCGCATATGGGGGGTTCGGGGGGCCAGGGGGGAGTGGAATGGGCGTGGGGGGCGTGGAGGGGAGGAGGAGAGCGCCCAGCGCAGCTGAGGTGTTCTTTGACTGGCAGGTGAGCGGGCGGCAGGTGAGCGGGCGGCAGGTGAGCGGGCGGCAGGTGAGCGGGCGGCAGGTGAGCGGGCGGCAGGTGAGCGGGCGGCAGGTGAGAGGGCGGCAGGTGAGAGGGCAGCAGGTGGGGTGATGGCAGGTGGGGTGATGGCAGGTGGGGTGATGGCAGGTGGGGTGATGGCAGGTGGGGTGGCGGCCGAGGTGGCCCAAATGCCACACCATGGCAAGTCATGCGATGCCTTGCCATGCCATGAGATGTCATCGCAATCACATCACACCTCGTGTTGCGTCACATGCATGGGTTTCTGCACGTGGCGCAAAATGGCTCCTGATACCTCCAACCGCCACAGCTGCTGTCCCTCCCCCTTTCCTCTCCGCCATGCTCGACCCGTGAACCCCCGACTCTCCGATCCACTTCCTCCATACCCCTCCACGTCTCTCCCCGCACACCTGCTGTGTGTCATGAGCATGCGCGCGCTGGCAGCGCTGACAGCAGCGTCGCGGGGGGAGGACCGCATGGGCGTGGCGCAGATGGCGGGCGCCAACGCCGCGGCGCTTTCCGCGCTGCTCTCTGCACTGCTCGCCCTTGACTCGCTCCTCCTCTCCCCCTCCCACCGCCACCCCGCCGCCCCCCGCCACCTTCTCTGGCTTTGGGGAAGCTTCCTCGCAAGCGACTCCTCCAGGTGCCTCTCAACCTGCCTTCTCCCACCAGACCTCGGTTCTAGCTTCAGGAAGCGGGGGATTATTTGGCACACCGACCCTCGGTCTTAGGTATGGAGGTGCTGCAGCAGGTGGTTCGGACGTACCAGGCGAGGGAGCAGGGGGCGGGGCGGTGGGGAGAGCTGTGTACAGCGAGGGGGTGGTGGGGCCGGTGTGGGGCGAGGCATGGGCCATGGCGGATGTGGTGCGCACCTCTCTGTATTGCATTGCAGAGACGTTTGGGGAGGAGATGGTGGAGAAGGCGGGTGGAGGGATGGGAGGAGGGAGGGGGGGAAGAGGAGGCGGTGGGGCAGGTGCTTGGAGGGTGGATGAGGCGTGGTTGCCTGGGGACATGCGACCCTTGTTTGGTTCGAGAGAAGCTCATGCAGCCAAGGTGCTGTCGCTGCTGGCACACACTGAGTAGCGTGGTACAGTACAAGGCAGTGCTGTTTTGTGCAGTTGTTGATTCATCATGAAGGCATGTGCTTACATGATAATCTGTGTGCAGAATGAGCAGCTGAGTGTACCATTATTTGCAATGATGGAATCCTGCACATCTTGTGGATGTGTATTCCGCCCACATATGATGTGAGCAGTTGACATGTGAGCAGTTTTGACATGTGAGCAGTTGACATGTGAGCAGTTGACATGTGAGCAGTTGACATGTGAGCAGTTGACATGTGAGCAGTTGACATGTGAGCAGTTAGACATGTGAGCAGTTGACATGTGAGCAGTTGACATGTGAGCAGTTGACATGTGAGCAGTTGACATGTGAGCAGTTGACATGTGAAACAAGTTCATTACGCAGTAACGCTGGTACCGTATTCACAATATGGACAAACATGGCAAGCATGCTCCTACAACCATCTAACTTCGGCAGTCCATATCCACACCTCCATCAAAAGCACCGTCTTCCTCATATTTCCCTCTCTCCGCCACACTGCTATGCGCCCGCCACATGCGCCTTGGGAGGGGCCTCACCCCCATGCCCCACCTCCTTCGCCCCTCCCCCCACCTCCTTCGCCCCTCCCCCCACCTCCTTCGCCCCTCCCCCCACCTCCTTCGCTCCTCCCCCCACCTCCTTCGCCCCTCCCCCCACCTCCTTCGCCCCTCCCCCCACCTCCTTCACCCCTCCCCCCCACCTCCTTCGCCCCTCCCCCCACCTCCTTCGCCCCTCCCCCCACCTCCTTCGCCCCTCCCCCCACCTCCTTCGCCCCTCCCCCCACCTCCTTCGCCCCTCCCCCCACCTCCTTCGCCCCTCCCCCCACCTCCTTCCCTCCACCCCTAGCTTCAGACTCAACCTCACCTTCTCCCTTCACTTCCCCCGTGGCTTCTCCCTTCCCCTCGCCCTCCTCTACCCCCTGGGGCCCCTTCCAGCCGCTCTCCTGCAGCCACTGGCGCCACGTCTTGAGGTGCGGGTTGCAGCGCCGCGCATTGCTGATGTCATGACAGCCGAAGTACGTGTGCTGGGAGAACCAGCGGAACATCTGCTCAGGAGGCACAGGAAGGCGGACGGACAAGTGAGAGGGAGCGTGGCATGGCAGCACCCCAGGGGCGCACAAAGGAAACACTCCAACCGTTCCTTCTTCGCCACCCCAGCCTGTCCCCTGAAGCCACACAATGCAGAGTGCGTGCGTCCCTCACCATTCACCCCTCACCTCCCTCCCCCCTCACCTGCGTCCACTCGTCAGAGGCCGCCTTCTCAGTGGTGTGCAGGCGGGCGGGGCGGCCCGTGACGCGGTGGAAGTCGGAGACGTACTGGTGCAGGGGGGCGTGGTAGCCCGCTAGACACATGTACTCGCCCTGCCAGCACGCATGCATCCAGGGGCGCAGCAGAGGCAGCGGGAATGGGAGAGGGTGAGGGGGAGGAGTGAGCAGAGCAAGAACACAGGGGTCAACTCATGGGGGGTAAGCACACGCAGTCAGCACCCACAGCGCAAGCAATCCACTTGGTTTTCCAGTAGAGCCCGGACGGGGCGAAAGCACCTGCCATGGCAGCAACAGCGTTGCATGTGGCGATGCAGGCAGCAGAGGGCGCACTCACATCCCAGTCATGGGGGTGGTCGAGGGCGTTGAGCACGGCAGCACCGGTGTCGTCCACATCGAAGGCCGTGAGCATGTCGTCTGCTGCCATGGGCAGCTCAAACACCACCGTGCCATCCGCCTCCTCCCTGCACTGCACAGCGTACAGTGGATTGTAAAGCCACATGCTTGTTGTCTCTCCTTCACAGGTTGAATGAAGCCACATGCATTAAGCAGACGGCAACAAGCGCAAGACAAGGCGCGCATGGGCGCACCTGGCGAGGTTGAAGTGGGCGAAGTTCTGGTAATAGAAGGCACACATGACGAATGTGTGGTGCTTGAAGCCGCTCGCCCTCACCACCTCCTCCACCTGCAGCGCCATGGGGGGGAAACGGCACAGTGACGGCCAAGAGGTGCGTGCGAGCTGAGGCGAAACACTCGGGGAACTGATAATAAGGCGCCCATGGCGTGGTAAGGCAGCAATGAGTGGGAGGCAGCGGCAGAGCAGGGAGAGGAAGAGAGTGTGCGGGAGGCGCCGACCTTGGCCTTGTTGGTGAAGTGCGGCACGTTGAGTTGGCCCTTGGAGAGGCGGTGCACGTGGGGCAGTGTGCTCCACACCACGTGCTGCACGCCCGCCCCCCTCGCCTCCTCCACCACTCCCTTCCCCACCTCCACCTCGCGCTCTCCCAGCGAGTAGAAGTCCGTCACCTGCCCAGCAGAGGGAAGGGGAGAGAGCGAGGAGAGAGCAGGGAGAGAGCAGGAGAGAACAGGGAGAGAGCAGGGAGAGAGCGAGAGGAGAAGGGGCGGGGTGTGGTTGGCGAGGTTGGAAGTGATGGTGCCAAGAGAGGGCACAATGCCAAGAGAGGGCACAATGCCAAGAGAGGGCACAATGCCAAGAGAGGGCACAATGCCAAGAGAGGGCACAATGCCAAGAGAGGGCACAATGCCAAGAGAGGGCACAATGCCAAGAGAGGGCACAATGCTAAGAGAGGGCACAATGCCAAAAGAGGGCACACGCAATGCAGATGTGGCGGCGCCCGTTGCAAGGCGCAGAGCAGTGGACGGGATGCGCAGAGCAGTTGACGGGATGCGCAGAGCAAGACAGGGCAGTGAAAGACGTGGTGAACATCAGGAGAGAGTAGCTGGCGCGGGGAGTGGTGTGGTGAAGCAGTTTTGAAGAGACATGCGAAATAGAGCAAAGCATGGCTATGGGAGGCTGCCCAACAACATGCGACTGAGGTGAGCCTTGTACGCGCTACACGCGCTGCTGCCCGCACCGCACGGCACTCACCACGAACGCGCCATAAGCACCCTCCAGCGCCGCGCGCACGGCCTGGCGGTCCGCCTGGTCGGCCTGTGCCACTTCCACCTTGGCGTCCCTCAGATGGGCGGCACGCGGCGAGTCCGCGTGGCGCGTGACGGCGCGGATGCGGTAGCGCCCGCTCGCCAGCAGCGCCGCCACCACGCTGCTGCCCTGCGCGCCTGGTGGCCGGGAGAGGGGAAGGTGGGGATGGCAGGGAGGGCGGGAAAGGATTGCGTGCAAGGAGAGGAGTTAGAAAGACGGACATACGTGAGCGTAAGTAGCGCGGAGAGGCGCGGAGAGGCGCGGAGAGGCTCACCGGTGGCCCCGAAGACGACGATGAGCGGCTTGTCCGGCGCGGTGTGCGGCTCGCCAGAGCGCACTGTGAGTCGGCGGAGGGACGACGTGAGATGCCCCCACATGCTGCCGTGCTGCTGTCGCGACACTCGATGCGACGATTGCGACTATGCGATGAGCGAAGAGCGGGCTGACGGAGGAACGGCACGAGACGGACCGGTGAAGGGCGCGGCGAGTGTGGCGATGACCAAGGAACTCGGTGAGCGCAAGTGAACTGACGCGATAAACAGGGGCCCGCTCGAGAGGCTAAGGACTTGCAGGCGAGTGGGAGGGAGAGCAGCGGAAGGAGTGGGAGGGACTGCCTCGCGGCGCTTCAGTCGAGCGCGTCGTCACCATTGCGGAGGCGCGCAGCATTCGACAGCGACAACGACAGTCCACACTCGTCGACATTGAGAGGCAGCACTACATCACTCGACATTCCTCGTGAAAGTAACGGCGCAGCGCGCCAGGCACTCGCGGCGATTCGGCAATGTGCATTGCATGCGCGGCGTGCGGGTGCATGCGCGGCGTGCGGGTGCATGCACGAGAGGGAGCCGCGTCGGGTGTCTCCATGCGAGCGAGCCCTGCTTGCGTGGCGATTCGCAGCAACGCCGTGGTGTGACGAACGCCAGTCGCTGTGGTGCGCATCTCGCGGGCAAGGAGTGCGCCACGACTAGCATGACAGTAGGGCGAATTGGGCAAGTGCTACGATAAAGGACGTGCATGGGTCTGCCGCAGGAGGCCACTCAACATAGGGCGGCTCACCTCACATTTGTCCACCGTTAATAATGAATTTCCATACTCAATGTGAAGCTTTTGTATGATTTTTCATACTCTAGGTAATAGATAAGAGTATGGCTGGTCAGACCCGCAATGTTACCGTATGAATGAACTTTCAGAATGCGCAGAATAACGAATAACGAGAATTTGAAATTACAGAATGACGATACATCAAAAGTGACGGGATTAAATGGGGGGATCCTAGCTAGGCAAGGAGATTGGGCGAAGGTGGGTCCGGAGGGTTGCAATCGGTGCGGGGGCGACTCGGGAGTGGTTCAGTGCGGGAATGTTGGCCAAACGTGTTGATGCGATCCCCTCAGAATCGTACCCGCTGAAGGGCGAGTACAGTAAGGAATTGTAATGCCGTACCAGGCCCTCAGATATCAGCGTAAAACACGCTGATTAGGCTGATTTTGTAGCTGTGATTTTCGTTTTCCCTGGAAATTCAGCATATGCTTCAATTTTGCACTGAAATTTCAGTATAAACTACCTTGCCACACTGACCATTTTCCGTGTTGCTGTAGAAGTAACACTGACGAATCAGTGTAGTGTCGTGAGTCACACTGAAACGGACTTGACCGATTCGGGGGGGGGGGGGGGGGGTACGCGTGTGTATAGTATGTACCTGGCCCGGGATTCACGAGACCCCACCCACACACTTGGAGATGCCATGCGCTGTACAGCAGATCGCGTGCCGACATGCTTTGCATCGCTGGAAGGAACTCTCACAGCGGCAAACTTTGAGTTGAATTGGTGATTCAACTTTGTTTTTCTTTTTTACACTGATGGTTCAGTCTACTTATGATTTTTACACTGGCAAAATCAGTATAAAAAAAAACCATGAACGCTGATTTGGACACCTGGGCGGCCGGGGCACGCTGATCGATCAGCATACCCTCAAACCAATCTGAGGGCCTGTGCCGTACATCCTCTTAAAATATCCTAGGAGGGAATAGTCTGTCAGAACTAAGAGCACGAATGAATGAACTAAGAGAGTGTTGGGTACAAATAAAAACCCTAAAGGGGTTGTACCCCACGTTGGCTACCCCACTACAGCCTACACAACATAAGTAGCAGTATAGTTTGACACATCCCCATAGGCAAAATGGAGGGGAACAAGGGGTCACAAGATCAGTCAAGAAAAGCAATGCAAGCTCAGGGTGGATCACAAAGTCACCACATATTTTGAGCACAAGCAAATGGCCACAAGGCCAGTTCACATGCAGAGGTATATATGTAATAACAACAGTACAGTGATCTGTCAGAGGTCCACTGATGATCCCCGATTGATCCTAGGGAAGGGTTACAGGCATGTTGGCCTGGGGGGTTATGGGCGCACTGACCCGCTACTTAACAAGCCCTTTTATCTCAATGGTCTAATGGTTGGGATTCTGACATGGTATCAGAGCGAAGGTCTCGGGTTCGAATCCCAGTGTATGCACTTCGGGCATCCCAGTGCGGGGGGGTGTCAGAGGTCCACTGGTGATCCCTGATTGATCCTAGGGAAGGGTTACAGGCATGTTGGCCTGGGGGGTTATGGGCGCACTGACCCGCTACTTAACAAGCCCTTTTATCCCAATGGTCTAGTGGTTGGGATTCTGACATGATCACTACCTAGCAAGAGTGAGAATACAGGTAGATATATAAGAAGATCACAGTACAAGCAAAGTCTACAGCAAGTGAGGACACGAAGGCACCAGTCCTAGAGCAGTGCAGAAGCGCTGATGATCACCAGCCGTAAGGGCCTTGGTGAACACATCAGCCGTGTTGGCCCGGGTGGGCACGTGAGCGACACGAAGCTGACCACGCTACTGCAACTGTAAAGAAAATTGATGTTCTTCGTTCTGTGCTCCAGTCTGTGGTCCTGACGCAAGGCAATGGTGTCAGAATGCTAAGCAGGAATGAATGAACTAGGAAAGAGTTTGGTACAAATATGAAACCCTAAAGGGGTTGTACCCCATACTGGCTACCCCACTATAGCCTAAAAATAAATAGCATATATATAATTTGACACACCCCCATACGCAAAGTGGGGGAGAGCAAGGGGTCACAAGACCAGTCAAGAGAAGCAAAGCAAGCTCAGGGTGGATCACAACGTCACCACACACACTGAGCACAAGCAAAAGGCCACAAGGCCAGTTCACATGCAGAGGTATATATGCAACAACAGCAACACAGTGATCACTACCTAGCAAGAGCAAGCATGCAGGTGTATATATATAAGATCACTGTACACGCAAAGTCTACAGCAAGTGAGGAAACGTAGGCACAAGGCCTAATAAAGTACAAAAGCGCTGATGATCACCAGGCGGAAGTGCCTTGGTGAATATATCAGTAGTGTTGGCCCGAGTGGCCACGTAAGCAAGACGAGGCTGACCACGCTGCTGCAACTCTCGAGCAAGGAAGTAACGCAGAGCGATGTGCTTCGTTCTGTGCTCCAGTCTGTGCTCCTGACACAAGGCAATGGCCGCCTTGTTGTCTACGTACAGAACTGGAGGAGAACGAGGCCGCTCTCCCAAGTCGGTCAGCAGGTAGGTGAGCCAGCGTAACTCCTGTGCAGCCATGGCTGTGGCGTAGATCTTAGCCTCACAACTGGAGCCGAGAACAGAAGACGAGCGTGTGAACCGCCACGAAACAGAGCCAGAGCCAAGACTGAAGGTGTAACCCTGTGACGACCGCTACGTAGTCAGGTCGTCAACCCAAGAAGCGTCCAAGTGACCAGTGAGGACAACGTCGCCCCGTCCTCCAAGCACGAGCCCCATGCCCGATGTACTGCACATGAAGCGCAGTACCCTCTTAGCAGCATCCATGTGCACCTTTCGGTGCCTACCAGGAGCCACGTAGCGAGCCAGAAGGCCAAGAGGGTACGCAAGGTCAGGACGTGTGCAGGTCATCAGGTACATGAGGCAGCCCACTAGCTCTGGGTAAGGACCACTCGGCTCTACGGACTCGTCCGAAGGTGAAGCTGAGAGCGAGTGACCTGTAGCCAGAGGAGTGGACTGTGCCGAGGACCAGGTGAAGCCGAAGCGCTGAAGGACCTGCTGCACCATGTGTGACTGAGTCAGTGTGATGGTGCGCCGTGCTCTGTCCCGGGTGATCTGCAAGCCAAGGTAACTGCGCAGTTCACCCAGGTCTGAGCACGTGTGTCTCTTCTGTAGCTCAGACTTCACCAGAGCGAGAGCCTCAGTCTCAGCAGTGGCAAAGACCAAGTCGTCGACGTACACGAGGATGTAGAACGGCGGCAGCGAAGTGTCGGTGCGCAGAAACAACGACGGGTCAGCAGTGGAAGGAGCAAACCCAAGAGCCGCAAGTGTCGTCCTCAGTGTGTCGTGCCACTCACGCGGCGCCTGGCAGAGACCGTAGACTGGCCGCCGGAGGCTCCACTGGGTACCAGGAGGAAACGACCCAGTGAAGCCAGGTGGGCGGCGCAGCCAGATCTCCTCGTGCAGGCTGCCCTGTAAGAAAGCTGTGCTGAAGTCTAGAGAGTGAAGCTCGTAGTCACGCTGAGCGGCAACGTGCAGCAGCACCCGAAGAGTGGTCATCTTCGGGGTGGGGGAGAAGGTCAACTCCCTCCCGCTGACTGAAGCCTCGAGCAACGTAACGAGCCTTGAAGACAGGCGGAGAACCTGGCGGTCGCTTCACCCTGAAAATCCACATGCCATTGACGATGTTCGCCCCAGGAGGGGGAACCTCATCAACGTAAGTGTTTGTGGACTTCCAGGATGCCATCTCTGCGTCCATGGCTGCCTGCCACTGAGAGGAGTACTCACCCGCGATCGCCTCAGCGTAAGAGCGCGGGGTAGGGATGTCTGGAGCATCCGGGTCTCCCTCAGGGGCAAGCAGCATGGCCACGAGATGAGGCGCAGCGGCTGCAAGGCACTCAAGGTTCTCCAGCCTGTCCTTAAGGACGTCCGTGCCAAGAGCACACGCACCCCCGACGGACGGAGGACACACAGACCCAGACCCAGCAACAAGACTAGCGGCGTAGTCTAGACGACAGGCAGCAGCAAAGGCAACAAGCTCAGCGACTAAGGCAGATGCAGCAGCAGACTCAAACGACGGGTCAGTGACAACAGTGGCTAGCGACGCGTGACAGTAGGGTGAGCAGCACGAGCGCTGTCTGACTCAGGGTCTAGAACGGCAGGCAGGGAAGACGCAGGAGGGGACGGCAGGGGAACACGCTGCGGAGCAGAGGAAGGATGCAGGGCCATGAGGTGTGTGCCGGGGACAGCCGGCGGACGCTCACGAGGAACACGACGACCAGTACGACCAGCGCGGACAGTGCGAACAGGCGAGACAGGACGAGACGCAGGCTCACGACGCTCAGTAAGACCTCCTTGCTACTCAGTGTAAGGAGAAGGAGCAGGCAGCGGTGAGCCAGGCTGTAACGGAAGACCAGTAGAGGACGGAAGGCTAAGAACCAAGCGAAGCACGGAGTCAGGTGGTGGTAGAGACGAAGGCGACGGCGAAGCGAAGAACAGTCGCGGTTGTGTAGTGCCACCTGCACCAGTGGCTCCAGCACCTCCTGCAGCTCCAGAACCTCCAGCGCCAGCACCTCCAGGACTAGTACCTCCAGCAGCTCCAGAACCTCCAGCAACAGCACCACCAGGACCAGCACCACCAGCAGCAGCACCCCCAGAACCGGCACCTCCAGTCCTAGGGTCTCCAGCCTCAGTGTCTCTAACAGCAGCACCCCCAGAACCCGGACCTCCAGCTCCAGGGTCTCCAACCTCAGAGTCTACAGCAGCACCTCCAGGTCCAGCAGTACCTCCAGCCCCAGCAGCTCCAGTACCCCCAGTACGAGCACCTCCGGGACCAGCGGCTCCACGAACTCCAGTAGAAACACCTCCAGTAGCAGAGTCACCAGCACCAGCGCCTCCCGCGGCAGGACCCCCAGCTCCAGCAGCGCGACCCTGACGGCTAACATACCACTCACGCAGCTGTTGTGGGGAGAGCGGGACAGCGCCAGCTCCAGTGCCTCCAACGCCAGCGCCTCCCGTAGCAGTGCCCCCAGCTCCAGCAGCGCGACCCTGACGGCTAACGTACCACTCGCGCAGCTGCTGTGGGGAGAGCGGGACACGACTACAAGAGTGCTGCGGCGAGGCACCAGCAGAGCGACTACGGAGGCGGCCGCTCCAAGGAGACTGCTCACCAGGCGCCTCAGTGCCCCCAGGCGCAGCACCCCCAGACCCAGTACCCTCAGGCTCAGCACCCCCAGACTCCGCACGCCCAGGCTCAGCACCTCCAGGCTCCGCACCCTCAGGCTTAGCACCCCCAAGCTCCGCACCCACAGGCTCAACACCCCCAAGCTCTGCACCCCCAGGCTCAGCACCCCTAGGCTCCGCACCCCAAGGCTCAGCACCCCCAGGCTCCGCACCCCCAGGCTCAGCACCCCCAGAAGCAGCACCCCGAGCAGGACCACCCCCAGCAGGACCTGAGTCACCAGTGACCTCAACCGGCGCAGTCAAGGGAGGAGGGTCTACCTAAGACACACCTGAAGGAGCAGGACCGGGAGCGAGGAGGGGGTCTACCTGGGGAGGACCTAGAGCGAGGAAGAGCGGCGGGGGGGGGAGCGCTGCAGTGCGGTAGGGAAACAGACGGTAAAAGGGGACCGACTCGTCAAAGGTGACGTCCTGAGATGCAAAGACACGGCGCGAGACAGTGTCGTAAAACTGCCAGCCAGGCGCGTCAGGGGGGAATTCAAGGAAGACGCAGGGAATGGCGCGAGGGGAGAGCTTGTCCGCAGTGGTATCGCACACAAAGGCACGAGCACCCCAGACCCGGAACCGCGACGCATCGCCAACCTCCCCCGTCCAACGTAGTGTGGGCGAAGTCTCCGGAACGGAGACACGGGGCCAGAGGTTGAGCTGATGCGCGGCGTACCGGACCGCAAACGGCCACAAAAAATTGGGGGCAGCCGCATGGATCATGGAGGTACGAGCGACCTCCATGACTAAGCCAATGCGGCGCTCAGCAACCCCATTCTGCTGCGGAGAGGCCGGGAGCGTGAACGTCTGGTGGATGCCGTGCTCCTCACAGTAGGCTCGCAAGAGGTCAGAGGAGAACTCACCACCTCTGTCAGAGTGCAGACGCAGGACAGGAAAGTCCGACTCGAACTGCTCGCGGAGCTGGAGACGAACAGCGCGGATCCAAGGGATCAAAACAGCAGGGACATCCCCCTTGCACTGCAAGGGGAAGACCGTGGTGTAACGCGTTTAGTCGTCGACTACCAGCAAGAAGTACCGCTCGTGGCCCTGTCCACGGACGCAGGCTGGGCCCCACACGTCCAGGTGGAGAGTCTGCAGTGGAGCCTCTGTGGGAGGGAACGAGGAGGAGTGAGGAGCGGCGCGCTGCCGCCCCTCAACGCAAGGAATGCAGGGCGGCGCAGGCGAGGGAGGGAGGGAGGACAGAGACCTGAGAAGACCAGAGACCAGGAGGCGAGAGTGCATGCCATGAAGGCGAGGCAAGGAGGGGTGACCAAGGCGGTGGTGCCAATAGGAGAGTCTGGTGCGACAGGCGGCGACACTCACACTGGGTAGCTACCTGAGCGGACGCGTACAACTGAGGAGACAAAGGGGTGGAGTGCGACGCAGTGGTGAGGGTGTACAGACTGGACCCAGGCGCACGTGTGAACGTGGCCAGGTGGCGGCCTATCCGAGAGCACGTGCAGATCGCCACATGCTGTCCTTCAGAAGTAAAGGTGTCAACCCAATTATCCTGAAGGACGGCGTTGCTCACCAGGTTCGTAGAGAACGAGGGGAGGTGGAGACCAGACAGCTCACCAGACGGGACCGCCGGGTACGGAAGCACACTGGTGGACCGTGCAAGCACCGGGCCCCCAGAGGGGTCAGCCAGTGAGACTGGGACAGGTGCAGGGAGGGGAGTGACTGTGGTACTGTCGTGAAAGAAACAGCGGGAAGCACCAGAGTAAAGTGTAAAGGTGTGCAAGGCCTGAGCCGACGCAGTACCAGGGAGAACAGACTCACAAGCACCAAGGGCTGCAGACTCTATACCTGGGGCTATACCTGGGTCAGGCGGTACACACAAGTGGCAGTCACCCTCACCACTAACAGTCAATGCATACATGGCAGCAAGAATAGCATCATAGTCAAGATCAAAGATAGGAATATCACGCCTAAGCAGATCTGCCCAAGGGGGAAACTCAGTAGTCTCAGGAAACTTGACGCGCCAGGCGTCGCTGAGCCGAGAGAAGCAGCGGTACTCCGTGTGAAAGCCGTTGCATGGGCGACCAGCGAGAGGACCTATGCGAATGGTATAGGTGCAGTGAACAGGGCCCCCAGACGCCCCACGCTGAGCGTACCAGTCATGAAGCTGCTGAGGCATGGGGGTCTGACGCTGACGCTGCTGCTGTCCCTGGCCACCACTGGAGCTCCCCTTCTGGCCGGCTCCACTCCAGCTCCCACCACCGCTGCCACCACCGCTCCCTCCTCCCCAACTCCCGCCGCTGCCACCTCCACTGCCCCCGGTACCCCCGCCACCCCCACCACCACCTCCACCCCCACGACCACCCCCACCACCTCCACCACCCCCGCCGCCTCCACCACTGCCCCCTCCACCGCCACCTCCACCTCCCCTGCCACCCCTGCTGCCCCTGGCGCTGCGGCACTTCCCACTAGGAGTGGAAGCAGCCCCGACCTCCTCAGCACCAAGGTAGTCGAGAGCAGCTGCAGCAGAGGCGTAGGAGGGGGCAAGAGGGGAGGGGGAGCACCCCTCAAAGAGGGGAGTGCGAGGAGTGCCACGAGCAGCACCTACAGCAAGAATGTTCTTTTCAGCTGCTAGGAGGTGCGTCTCAAGGTCGGCGACAGTGATAGTGGTCGGGTCTAGGGCGAGAAAGTGGTCCCTGACTGAGCGAAGAGTGTCAGGGAGGCGGGTGATGAGGAAGTAGAGAGTAAAGTACATCGGGGGGTGATTCTCGGCAAGGAACTCGTCTGAAAGGGCGGCACGAAAGCGAGCGTCACTAGCGCGGAGGTGAGAGATGAGGTCCTCAGTGGTAGTAAACGAGGACAGGTCGGGGAACAGGTAGGGTAGCATGAGACGGCCTACGGCTGCAGTGGCTAGGGAAGAGTAGCGGGCAACTACAACCTCATACATTGCCTTAGTAGTCTTCTGCTGACTAAAGTGCGCGTGCTCAGTGATCGGCAGATGGTTGCGAATAGCGAGGCGCGCAGCTGCATCACGAGTCTGCCACTGTGAGCGGTCAAGAGCGATAGCAGTGTCAGCAGGAGCAACGGCAGTGCCAGTCACGTAATCGAACAGTGAAACTCCGTCTTTGGCATCAGTCAGAAGAAACTGTCGCAGGTCGTCGAGCCAAGTCGCAAACTCTATTGGGCGACCGTCAGGATCAAAAGCGAGGACATTGAGAGTCACCATGAGTGCAATGCACGTGAGAGTAGCGCGTAGGCGGCAGGGCAGAGCACAGACAGGAGGAATAGTGCACAAGGCGGCTGTGGCGACGCACAAGCTGTTGGGGCGGCACGCACGTGGCAAGGGCAGAGCGGAGGGCAGCGGCGAGGCGCACGCAAGCTGCTTAAGCGGCGCGCGGGCGGTTAAGGCAGCACGCGGCAGAAGCGGGCTGCGCTAGGGCGGCGGACGCGGCGCGCTGGGCACCAGCGGGCTGCGCGTGTGGCGGACGCGGCGCGCAGGGCAGCAGCGGGCTGCGCGGGCGGCGGACGCGGTGCGCGGGGCTGCAGCGGGCTGCGCGGGCGGCGGACGTGGCGCGCGGGGCAGCAGCAAGCCGCGCGCGGGCTCCTAAGGCGGCGCGCGGGTTCCTAAGGCGGCGCGCGGGACAGGAGCAGGCGGCGCGCTCGGGACTAGGGCAGCGCGCGCAGGCAAGGCAGAGGCGCGCGCGGGCAGCGCAGCGCAGGCAAGGTAGGGCGCGCACGGGCAGCGCAGCGCAGGCACGACGTGGGGCAGCTCAGTAACCGCAACGGTAGGTGGGCCCTAAAAAAATCGGTCCTACGGACCTACTACTCTGATACCATGTCAAATGCTAGGCAGGAATGAATGAACCAGGAAAGAGTTTGGTACAAATATGAAACCCTAAAGGGACTGTACCCCATACTGGCTACCCCACTATAGCCTAAACATATATAGCATATATATCTTTTGACAAATGGCAGCCTTGTTGTCGACGTACAGAACTGGAGGAGAACGAGGCCTCTCTCCCAAGTCGGTCAGCAGGTAGGTGAGCCAGCGTAACTCCTGTGCAGCCATGGCTGTGGCGTATATCTCAGCCTCACAACAGGAGCTGAGAACAGAAGACAAGCGTGTAGACCACCAAGAAACAGAGCTGGAGCCAAGGCTGAACGTGTAACCCTGTGACGACCGCTACGTAGCCAAGTCGTCAACCCAAGAAGCGTCTGAGTGCCCAGTGAAGACAACTGAACTCCGCCCTCCAAGCACGAGCCCCATGCCCGATGTACTGCACAAGTAGCACAGTACCCTCTTCGCAGCTTCCCAGTGCACCTTTCAATGCCTACCAGGAGCCACGTAGCGTGCCAGTAGGCCAAGAGGGTACGCAAGGTCAGGACGAGTGCAGGTCATCAGGTACATGAGGCAGCCCACTAGCTCTGATACGGACCACTCGGCTCTATGGACTCGTCCGAAGGTTGAGCTGAGAGCGAGAGATCTGTAGCCAGAGGATTGGACTGTGGCGAGGACCAAGTGAAGCTGAAGCGCTGAAGGACCTGCTGCACCATGTGTGACTGAGTCAGGGTGATGGTGCGCCGTGCTCTGTCCCGGGTGATCTGCAAGCTAAGTTAGCTGCGCAACTCACCCAGGTCTGTGCACGTGTGTCTCTTCTGCAGCTCCGACTTCACAAGGGCAAGAGCCTCAGTGTCAGCAGTGGCAAAGACCAAGTCGTCGACGTACACGAGGATGTAGAACGGCGGCAACAAAGTGTCGGTGCACAGAAACAGCGACGGGTCAGCAGTGGAAGGGGCAAACCCAAGAGCCGCGAGTGTCGTCCTCAGTGTGTCGTGCCACTCACGAAGTGCCTGACGGAGACCGTAGACTGGCCGCCGGAGGCTCCAATGCGTACCAAGAGGGAACGACCCAGTAAAGCCAGGTGGGCGGCGCAGCCAGATCTCCTCGTGCAGACTGCCCTGTAAGTACGCTGTGCTGAAGTCCAGAGAGTGAAGCTCGTAGTCGCGCTGAGCGGCAATCTGCAGCAGCACCCGAAGAGTGGTCATCTTTGGGGTGGGAGAGAAGGTCTGGAAGAAGTCAACTCCCTGTCATTGACTGAAGCCTCATGCAACGTAACGAGCCTTGAAGACAGGCGGAGAACCCGGCGGTCGCTTCACCCTGAAAATCCACATGCCTACGTTCGTCCCAGGAGGGGGAACTGCGTCGACGTAAGTGCCTGTGGACTTCCAGGATGCCATCTCTTCGTCCATGGCAGTCTGTCACTGAGAGGAGTACGCACCCGCGATCGCCTCAGCATAAGTGCGCAAGGTCGGGATGTCTGGTGCATCCGGGTCTCCCTCAGGGGCAAGCAGCATGGCCACGAGATGAGGTGCAGCGGCTGCAAGACACTTAAAGTCCTCCTACCTGTCCTCAAGGACGTCCGTGCCAAGAGCACACTCACCCCCGACGGACGGAGGACAGACAGACTCAGACTCAGCAACAAGACTAGCGGCGTAGTCGAGACGACAAGCAGCAGCAAAGTCTACGAGCTGAGCGACAAAGGCAGACGCAGCAGTAGACTCAAACGACGGGTCAGTAACAACAGTGGCTAACAGATGCGTGACAGTAGGATGTGCAGTACGAACCAGGTTAGACGGCGTGTCCGGAACGTCAGGCAGAGAAGACGCAGGAGGAGACGGCATGGGAACGCACAGAGGAACAGAAGAAGGACAAAGGGACATAGTGTGCATGCCGGGGACTGGAGGAGGACGCTCATAAGGAACACGATGACCAGTGCGACCAGTGCAAACAGGCGAGGCAGGACGGGACGCAGGTTTGCGACGCTCAGTAAGACCTCCTGTCTGCTCAGTGTAAGGAGAGGGAGCAGGTAGTGGGGAGCCTAGGTGCAACAGGAGACTAGTAGAAGACGGGAGACTAAGAACCTTGCGGAGCACCGAGTCCGGCGATGGCAGAGACGACGGTGACGGTGGAGCGAAGAACAAACGCGGCGGTGCAATACCACCAGAACCTGCTCCTCCAGCGTCTCTAGCAGCTCTAGAAACGCCAGCTCCAATACCTACAGCTCCATAGTCCGCAGCACCACCAGCTCCGGCAGCTCCAGCACCCGAAGTGCGAGCACCTCCAGGACCAGTGGCACTCGTACCACCAGCACTTCCAGCAGCTCCAGTCCCTCCAGAACCAGCAGCTCCAGCTCCTCCAGTTTCGCCAGCTCTAGGGTCTCCAGCTCCAGCACCACCACCTCCTCCAATACCTCCACCTCCAGGGTCTCCAGCTCCAGCAGCACCGCCACCGTCCCCAGCTCCAGCACGTCCAGGACGAACGCCACCGGGACCATTAGTGCCAGGCCGAGAGCGGGTGCGCGTAGCGTACCACTCACCAAGTTGCCGCGACGAGCGTGGCACCCGCAAAGTAGACACAGTGCCTCGAGGCTCAGCACCCCCAGACGCAGCACCCTCAGGTGCCGCACGCTCAGGCTCAACACTCCTCGACTCCGCACGCACAGGCTCAGCACCCCCAAGCTCCGCACTCCTAGGCTCAGCACCCCCAGGCTCCGCACCCCCAGGCTCAGCACCCCCAGGCTTTGCACCCCCAGGCTCAGCACCCCAAGGCTCACCACCCCAGGCTCCGCGACCCCAGGCTCAGCACCCCCAGGCTCCGCACCCTCCGACTCAGTACCCCCAGGCTCAGCAACCCCAGACTTCGCAACCCCAGGCTCAGCACCTCCAGACGCAGCACCCCGAGCAGGACCACGCCAAGCAGCACCTGAGTCACCAGTGACCTTGACAGGCTCAGCCAAAAGAGGTGGGTCTACCTGAGACACACCTGAAGGAGCAGGACCCTGAGGGGGGAGGGGGTCTACCGGAGGGGGAGAAGCGAGGAAGAGTGGCGCGGGGGGAGAGGGGCAGTGCGGTAGGGGAAGAGATGGTAAAAGGGAACCGACTCGTCGAACGTGACGTGTTGAGGGGGGAAGACACGGCGCGAGGTGGGGTGGTAAAACTGCCAGCCAGGCGTGTCAGGGACAAAGCCAAGGAAGACGCAGGGAATGGCGCGAGAGGAGAGCTTGTCCGCGGTGGTATCGCAGACAAAGGCACGAGAGGCCCAGACCCGGAACACCGACGCATCGCCAACCTCCCCCGTCCAACGCAGTGTGGGTGAGGTCTCCGGCAAGGAGACACGGGGCCAGAGGTTGAGCTGATGCACAGCGTACCGGACCGCAAACAGCCAAAGAAAATGGGGAGCAGCCGCATGGATCATGGAGGTACGAGCGACCTCCATGAGTAAGCCAATGCGGCGCTCAGCAATCCCATTCTGTTGCGGGGAGGCCGGAAGAGTGAACAACTGGAGAATGCCCTCTCCTTGACAGAAGGCTCGCAAGAGGTCGGAGGAGAACTCACCACCTCTGTCAGAGTGCAAACGCAAGACAGGAAGGTCCGTGTCGAACCGCTCGCAGAGCTGGAGGCGGGCAGCGCGGATCCAAGGGATCAAGACATCAGGGACCTCACCCTTGCTGCGCAAGGGGAAGACCGTGGTGTAACGTGAGTAGTCATCGACAACCAGCAGAAAGTACCGCTCTCCGCCCTGTCCACGAACGAGGGCTGGGCCCCACACGTCCATGTGAAGGGTCTGCAGAGGAGCCTCTGTCGGGGGAAACGAGGAGGAGTGAGGAGCGACGCGCTGCCGCCTCTCGACGCAAGGAATCTAGGGCGGGGCACGGGAGCTCGGGAGGGAGGACAGAGACCTAGGAAGGCCAGAGACAAGGAAGCGGGAGTGCATGCCACGGAGGCGTGGCAGGGAGGGGTGACGAAGGCGGTGGTGCAAGAGGAGAGTCTGGTGTGAGAGGTGGCGACGCGCACAAGGGGCTGCTGCCTGACCGGGCGTAGCTTCCTGACCTGACGCAGCTATTTGGGGAGACTCAGTAGTCAGTGTGTACAGGCTCGACCCAGGCTGACGGGTGAACGTGGCCGGGTGACGGCCAGTCCGTGCACACGAGCAGATCGCCACACGCTGCCATGCAGGGGTGAAGGTATTAACCCCCACATCCTGAAGGGCAGCGTTGCTCATGTGAAGATTACGAGGAATGATTGACTAAGGGAAAGGTTGGGTACAAGTGCAAACCCTAGAAATGTGTTGTACCCCATATGTGCTACCCCACTATAGCCTACATAGGCTAAGTCATATAAGTCTGACACACCCCCATAGGCAAAGTGGGGGAGAACAAGGGGTCACAAGACCAGTCAAGCAAAGCAAAGCAAGCTCAGGGTGGATCACAACGTCACCACACATTCCGAGCACAAGTTCAAGGCCACAAGGCCAGTTCACATGCAAGATCATATATAAAGGTAAACAAGCAAGTGCAGGTATAGAAAGATCACAGTACAAGCAAGGTCAAAAAGTGAGCAAGTGAGGCCAAATAGGCACAAGACCTAGCATCGTACAGCAGCGCTGATGATCACAAGGTGGAAGTGCCTTGGTAAAGATATGAGCAGTGTTGGCCTGAGAGGCCACGTAAGCAAGGCGCAGCTGACCACGCTGCTGCAGCTCACGAGCAAGGAAGTAGCGAAGAGCAATGTGCTTCGTTCTGTGCTCCAGTCTGTGCTCCCGACACAAGGCCAGCATGGCCTTGTTGTCTACGTACAGAACTGGAGGAGAACGAGGCGGCTCTCCTAGGTCAGTCAGCAGGTAGGTGAGCCAGCGTAGCTCCTGTGCAGCCATGGCCCCCGAGTAGATCTCAGCCTCACAGCTGGAGCCGAGAACAGAAGACGAGCGGGTAGACCGCCACGAAACAGAGCCGGAACCAAGGCTGAAGGTGTAACCCTGTGACGACCGCTGCGTAGCCTGGTCGTCAGCCCAAGAAGCGTCTGCGTGACCTGTGAGGACCACTGAACGCCGCCCTCCAAGCACTAGCCCCATGCCCGACGTACTGCACAAGTAGCGCAACACCCTCTTCGCTGCAGCCATGTGCTCTGGTCGGTGTCTCCCAGGAGCAACATAGCGTGCCAAGATGTTAAGAGGGTATGCAAGGTCAGGTCGAGTGCAGGTCATCAGGTACATGAGGCAGCCAACAAGCTCTGGGTACGGGCCACTCGGCTCTACGGACTCATCCGAAGGCAGAGCTGAGAGCGAGTGGCGAGTAGACAGAGGAGTGGCCTGTGGCGAGGAGTACGTGAAGTCGAAGCGCTTAAGGACCTGCTGCACCATGTGTGACTGAGTCAGGGTAATGGTGCGCTGTGCTCTGTCCCGGGTGATCTGCAAGCCAAGGTAGCTGCGCAGTTCACCCAGGTCTATGCACGTGTGTCTCTTCTGCAGCTCGGACTTCACGTGGGCGAGTCCAGCAGTGTCAGCAGTGGCAAAGACCAAGTCGTCGACGTACACGAGGATGTAGAACGGCGGCAAAGAGGTGTCGGTGCGTAGAAACAGCGACGGGTCGGCAGTAGAAGGAGCAAACCCAAGAGCATGCAAGTGTAGTCCTCAGTGTGTCGTGCCACTCACGGGGCGCCTGGCGGAGACCGTAGACTAGCCGCCGGAGGCTGCACTGGGTACCAGGAGGAAACGACCCAGTGAAGCCAGGTGGGCGGCGCAGCCAGATCTCCTGATGCAGGCTGCCCTGCAAGAAAGCCGTGCTGAAGTCAAGAGAGTGAAGCTCGTAGTCGCGCTGAGCGGATATGTGCAGCAGCACCCGAAAAGTGGTCATCTTCGGGGTGGGAGAGAAGGTCTGAAAGTAGTCAACTCCCTGCCGCTGACTGAAGCCTCGAGTCACGTAACGTGCCTTGAAGACAGGCGGAGAACCCGGCGGCCGCTTCACCCTGAAAATCCACATGCCACTGACGATGTTCGCCCCAGGTGGGGGAACCTCGTCGACGTAGGTGCCTGTGGACATCCAGGAAGCCATCTCTGTGTCCATGGCTGACTGCCACTGTGAGGAGTAGGGACCCTCGATCGCCTCAGCGTACGATCGAGGAGTCGGGATGTCTAGTGCATCCGGGTCTCCCTCAGGTGCAATCAGCATGGACACGAGATGAGGCAAAGCAGCAGCAAAACACTGGAACTCCTCCTGCCTGTCCTCAAGGACGTCCGTGCTAAGAGCACACTCACCCCCGACGGACGGAGGACAGACAGACTCAGACTCAGACTCAGCAACAAGACTCGCAGCGTAGTCTAGACGACAGTGAGCAGCAAAGTCGACAAGCTCTGCTACTAAGGCAGACGCAACAGCTGACTCAAAGGAAGGGTCAGTGACAGCAGTGGCCCGGAGATGCGTGACAGTAGGACTAGCAGCACGAAGAGAGTCAGACTCCGGGTCAGCAAGAGCAGGAAGAGAGGACTTTGGAGGAGACGGCAAAGGGACACGCAGTGGAGCAGTGGAAGGACGCTGCACCATCTGGTGTGTGACTGGGACCGCAGGAGGACGCGGACGCGGATCACGACGACTAGTGCAAGCAGAACGAACAGGCGACGCAGGACGAGACGCAGGCTCACGACGCTCAGCAAGACCTCTAGTAGGACCAGTGTAGGGAGAAGGAGCAGGCAGTGGGGAGGCGGGCTGTAACTGCGACTCAGACTGGACAGGCGGTGGACACTCTAAGGAAGGAGCAGGACCAGTAGAAGGCGGGAGACCAAGAACCTGCTCAAGGAGCGGAACGAAGTACGGCCGCGGCCGCGCAGCGCCTCCAGAGCCAGCAGGGACAGCACCAGCACCCCCAGTGGCAGCACCGCCACCTCCAGCACCCTCTGAAGCACCAGCGCCAGCAGCACCTCCAGCGCCAACACCCCCAGCAGCTCCAGCTCCAGCCGGACCACCGGAAGACTCAACAGCCATAGCTCCAGCACCTCCAGCAGCACCGACTCCAGCAGCACCGCCAGCTCCAGCACCGCCAGCAGCTCCAGGACAAGGAGCACCCCTAGTAGCAACAGAACCTCCAGCTCCAGCAGCACCTCCAGCTCCAGCAGCACGGCTCCAGCGCCGAGCAAACCACTCGCGCAGCTCCTGTGGAGAGGGCAGCTCCCGCCGGGACGAAGCACCCGAGGAACCTCCAGACCCAGTACCGCCAGACTCCACACGAGCAGGCCCAGCACCCTCAAGCTCCGCACCCCCAGGCTTTGCACCCCCAGACTCAGCACCCTCAGGCTCCGCACCCCCAGGCTCAGCACCCCCAGACTCAGCACCCCTAGACTCAGCACCCCCAAGCCCCGCTCCCGCAGGCTCAGCACCCCTAGCAGCACCAGAGTCAACAGCTACCTCGACAGGCTCGACTGCGTCTACCTGAGACACACCTGAGGGGGCAGGACCCTGAGGGGGAAGGGGGTCTACCTGAGGGGGACCTGGCATGAGGAAGAGCGGCGGCGGGGGGAGGGGCACAGTGCGGTAGGGGAAGAGACGGTAGTAAGGAACCGACTCGTCAAACGTGACGTCCTGGGAGGACAGAACACGGCGCGAGGTGGGGTGGTAAAACTGCCAACCAGGCGCGTCAGGGGGGAAGCCAAGGAAGACGCAGGGAACAGCACGGGGGGACAGCTTGTCCGCACACAAGTCGCGGACAAAAGCCCGAGATCCCCAGACACGAAACGCAGACGCATCGCCAACCTTCCCCGACCACGTAGGTTGATCTGGAGGTCTCCGGCAAGGAGACTCGGGGCTGAAGGTTGATCTGATGCGCCGCGTACTGAACCGCGAACGGCCACAGAAAATGGGGAGCAGCCGCATGAATCATGGACGTACGAGCGACGTCCATGACCATGCCAATGCGGCGCTCAGCAATCCCATTTTGCTGTGGGGAGGCCGGAAATATGAACGTCTGGCGGATGCCCTGTGCACGACAGAAGGCTCCGAGAAGGCCAGAGGAAAACTCTCCGCCTCTGTCAGAGTGCAGACGCAGAACAGGAAAGTCCGAGCCGAAAATCTGTCTGAGCTGGAGACGAGCTGCGCGGATCCAGTCGATCAACACCTCAGTGACGTCACCCTTGCTGCGCAAGGGGAAAACCGTGGTGTAACGCGAGTAGTCGTCAACCACCAACAGGAAGTAACGCTCGTGACCTTGGCCACGGACGCGGGCGGGGCCCCACACGTCCATGTGAAGAGTCTGCAGTGGAGCCTTTGTCGGAGGAAACTCTGAGGAGTGAGGAGCGGCGCGCTGCCGCCCCTCGACGCAGGGAACGCAGGTATGGGCAGGCCCCAGAGGGAGGGGAGGGAGGGACCGGGGGAGACCAGAGACAAGGTAACGGGAGGCCATGCCTCGGAGACGAGGCAGGGAGGGGTGACCAAGGCGGTGGTGCCAGAGGAGAGCCTGGTGGGACAGGAGACGACACGAGCAGGGAGCAGACTCAGGACCAGACCTGGACGCTGCAGCAAACACCTGACCCGACGCAGCTACCTGACCAGAATCAGCAACAGGAGGAGACTCAGTAGTCAGTGTGTACAGGCTCGACCCCGGCTGACGGGTAAACGTGGCCAAGTGTCGGCCCGTCCGAGCACACGTACAGTGGGTCACCCGCTGACTCGCAGGAGTGAACTGGTCAACCCCCCCATCCTGTAGATTAGCACCACTCACCAAGTTCGTAGAGAACGAGGGGAGGTAGAGACCTGACAGGGTGCCAGAGGGGGCCGCCGGACACGGTAAGACAGTGGAGAAGTGGGCAAGGACAGGACCCCCAGAGGGGTCCGCCAGGGAGACCGCAACTGGCCGACTAAGCGGCGTAAGCGTGGTGCGGTCTCGAAAGAAGGAGCGGGAAGCACCCGAGTCAACGGTGAAGGTGTGTAAGGCCTGAGCCGACGTGGTACCTGAGAGAGCAGACTCACCAGCACCTGGGGCAGCAGACGCATTAGCACCTAGAGCAGCAGCCTCACCAGCACCTAGAGCAGCAGCCTCACCTGCACCTAGAGCAGCAGCCTCAATGCCCGGGTCAGGCGGAACACACAGGTAACAGTCACCCTCATCACTAGTAGACACAACATACATGGCAGCAAGGATAGCATCATAATCCAGATCAAAGATAGCAACCCCCGACCTAAGCAGCTCACCCCAGCGGTGGATCTCAGTGGCGTCAGGGAACTGGAGACGCCAAGCGTCCGTCAGGCGGCCGAAGCAGCGCTGGGTGGTGTGCAGGCCACCGCACGGCTCACCAGTGCGGTCGCCGGTACGCAGGACGTAGGCACAGGGACCAGCACCCCCACCCCGCTGACGCGCAGCGTACCACTCACGAAGCTGCTGGGGGGGCGGGGTCTCACGAGTGTGCTGCTGCTGCTGGCGCTGACCACCACCGAAGCCGCTCCGCTGCGCAGAGCCACCCCGACCAGCTCCACCTCCGCCGCCGCCACCTCCGCCACCGCCGCCACCGCCTCCTCCTCCGCTCCCTCCGCCACCGCCGCCGCCGCCTCCGCCTCCACCGCCGCCACCGAAGCCCCCAACCCCCGCCACCACTCCCACCGCCACCCCCACTCCCTCCGCCGCCTCCACCGCCACCTCCACCACCCCCGCCAGCCCCTCCAGCGCCCTTGCCCCCCTTGCCCTTGCCGGTGCGGCGTCTCCCGCTAGGGGCAGACGCAGCGCCGACCGACTCGGTGCCAACGAAGTCGACGGCAGCAGCAGAGGCAACAGAGGGCAAAAGGGGGGAGGGGGAGCACCCCTCAAAGAAGGGGGTACGAGGGTCATTACGAGAGGCTCCTACAGCGATTATACTCTTCTCAGCTGCCAGGAGGCGCTCCTCGAGGAGGTCAACGGTGAGTGTGGTGGGGAAAACGGAGAGGAAGTGGTCCCTGACTGAGCGAAGGGAGTCAGGGAGCCGGGTGACTATGTAGTAGAGGGTGATGTACATGAGGGGGGGGGGGTTCTTGGCGCAGAACTCAGCAGGAAGCGCAGCGCGGTAGCGGGTGTCACTAGTGCAAAGGTGCGTAATGAGGTCAGCGACTGTGGGAAAGGCGGCGAGGTCTGGGAACAGGTACGGCAGCATGAGGCGGCTAAGGGCAGCAGTGGCAGGGGAAGAGTAGCGTGCGACTACAGCGTCGTACAAGGTCCTAGCACTCTTGTACTGACTCAAGTGCGCGCGCTCAGAGGACGGCAAGTGACTACGCACAGCAAGACGGGCAAGCAGCATCGCGTGTGGCCCACTGTGAGCGAACAGTGCTGTCAGCATCGGCAGCAGGGGCAGCAGAGGCGCCAGACGTGAGATCGAACAGTGAGAGACCGTCTTTCCTATCGCACTGTAGGAAAAGCTGTAGATCATCGACCCAGACCTCAAAGTCAACAGCCCGACCCTCAGCATCAAAGACTAGAACGCTAGGGGTAGCCATGACAGCAGTGGCAGCAGGCTAGGGGCAGCAGCAGCAGCAGTAGCAACAGTAGGGGCGCGGCTCGGCGGTGCTCTTACCAGGGCAGGTGGGTAGAGGTCCGCGAGTGGTGGGGCAGGGCCGAGGTGCGCCGGCAGGGACGGGGCCGCTACAGGGCGGCAGAGGACTGCCGCTCCTCTCTGCAGGGCAGGGCCGGAACGGCGGCGGCGGCCCCTGCTGTCGGCGGCGGCGGCCCCTGCTGTCGGCGGCGGCGGCGCGGCTGCAGTCGGCGGCTGGCGCCGGAGGCGGCGGCGGCCCCCGGCAGTGGCGGCAGCAGCTGCTGCTGTCGGCGGCTGCGGCGGCTGCAGCCCCGGCTGTGGCGGCGGCGGCTGCTGCTGTCGGCGGCTGCGCGCGGCTGCGGCTCCCGCTGCAGGGGCGGCGACGGCGGCTGCTGCGGGGGCAGCGACGGCGGGGCGGCAGGTCCGTGAGGGAGCCGAGAAGGGGCCGCGGAGGAGCCGAGAAGGGGCCGCTAAGGGCGGTGAAGGGGCCGCAAAGGGGCCGCGAGGGGGCCGTGAAGGGCGGCGACGGGGCCGAGACGGGGCCGTGAGGGGCCGCGACGGGGCCGTGAAGGGCGGCGACAGGGCCGCGAAGGGCGGCGACGGGGCCGTGAAGGGGCCCGCGAGGGGCCGCGAAGGGGCCGCGAGGGGCGGTAAGGGGCCGCGAAGGGCCAGTGAGAGGGGCCGCGAAGGGCGGCGGAGGGGCCGCGAGGGAGCCGCGAAGGGGCCGCGAGGGGCCGTGAGAGGGGCCGCGAGGGGCCTCGAAGGGCGGCGACGGGGCCGCGAAGGGGCCGCGAGGGGCCTGAAGGGGCCGCGAAGGGCCTTGAGAGGGGCCGTGAGGGGGGCCGTGAGAGGGCCGCTACGGGGCCGTAAGAGGGCGCGACGGGCCGCTAAGGGCAGGGGACGCGACGGGAGGGTAGGCACGCGCGGCGCGACTCGGGCAGGAGCGAAGCGCGCTCCTGGGCAGGAAAAAATAAAATTCGATTTTCAGTGGTGGGCCCTAGGAACGTTCCCACTAGGGAACCTGCTCTATACCATGTGAAGATTACGAGGAATGATTGACTAAGGGAAAGGTTGGGTACAAGTACAAACCCTAGAAATGTGTTGTACCCCATATGTGCTACCCCACTATAGCCTACATAGGCTAAGTCATATAAGTCTGACAGCTCACCAAGTGAGCCGACGGAACCGCCGGACACGGGGAGAACAGTGGTGGAACGTGCAAGCACCGGGCCCCCCGAGGGGTCAGCCAGGGAGACTGCAACGGGTCTAGTGAGTGGTATGAGTGTGGTACTGTCGCGAAAGAAGCAGCGAGTGGCACCTGAATCAAGTGTGAAGGTGTGCAAGGCCTCAGCAGGCGCAGTACCAGAGAGAGCAGACTCACTAGCACCTAGAGCAGCAGTTGGTATACCTGGGTCAGGCGGCACACACAACTAACAGTCACCCTCAGCACTAGTAGACAAAGCATACATGCCAGTAAGGATAGCATCATAGTCAAGTTCAAAGATTTCAACACCAGCTTTAAGCAGATCTGCCCAGCGGGGCATCTCGTGATCATCGCCAAACTCATTGCACCAAGCATCGTCTATGCGGGAGAAGCAGCGATATGGGTGTGAGGCTGGCTGCATGTCTGACCCTTGCAACCACCAGTACGAATGACGTACGGGCAGGAAGCACTACCCCCAGACACCCGGCGCTGAGCATACCAATCACGAAGCTGTTGGGACGAGAGGGTCTCACGCTGGCGCTGCTACTGCTGCTGCCGCTGACCACCTCCAGTCCACCCACCACTGCTGCTGCCACCATCACTCCCGCCACCACCACCACTGCCCCCACTGCGTCCACTGTCACCACGACCATCGCCACCGCCACCCCCGCCGCTGCCGCCACCCCCGCCACCGACTTCCCCACTCCCGCCACCACTCCCGCTGCCACCTCCGCCACCTCCACCGCCTCCACCGCCTCCACCACTACCCGCCTCCACCGCCGCCACCCCCACCACCCTTGCCTCCCTTGCCCCTCCCGTCGCGGCGCCTCCTATTAGGAGCAGAAGCAGCATTGACTCTCTCAGCACCTAGGAAGTCAATAGCAGCAGCAGAAGCGACAGAGGGGGCAAGTGGGGAGGGGGAGCACCCCTCAAAGAAGGGCGTGCAGGGAGTGCCACGAGCAGCACCTACTGTGACGATGTTGGTCTCAGCTGCTAGGAGGTGCTTCGAGAGCAGGTCGATAGTGAGGTATGTGGGGCGAAGGGCGAGAAAGGTGTCCCGGACTGCGCTAAGCGAGTCGGGGAGGCGAGTGACTATAAAGTAGAGAGTGATGTAGATCGGGGGCTCATTCTTGGGGACAAACTCGGTGGGGAGGGCTGCACGGTAGCGAGCGTCCATAGTGCGGATGTGGATGATGAGGTCGTCTACAGTGTCGAAAGCGGACAGCTCGGGAAAGAGGTAGGGGAGGATGAGGCGACCTAGAGCTGCAGTGGTAGGGAAGAGTAGCGTGCGACAACATCGTCGTATAGTTCTTTGGTTGTTTTAGTGTGATCAAAGTGCTCACGTTCGGCTATCTGCAGGTGGTTACGAACAGCTAAGCAAGCGGCAGCGTCACGAGTGAGCCGTACTATCGGCAGAGGCGGCAGGGGCAGGACGAGCTCCAGACGTGAGGTCAAACAGGGAGACATCGTCCTTAGAGTTGCTCAGGAGGAACAGCTGTACGTCCTGTAGCTAGGTTTCGAACTTAATAGGGCGGCCGTCAGGATCAAACTCGAGGACGCTGAGGGAGGCCATAGCGCCGCAGTGAAGGGCGGCGTAAGTAGGCGTGCGGTAAGTAAGGCGGCGCAAAGGCTGCAAAAGCTGCTAGGGAGCCGCGCTGGCTGTAGGCGGGCAGTGCGCAAGGCGGCAGAGGCGGCGCGCAGGCTGCAAGGCAGTGCTCGGGCCTGCGCAGGGACCAGGCGGATGGTGAGCGGGTCGACAGGAGCTGAACGCGGGCAGGTGAAGGCGGCGCGTAGGCCGCGAAGGCAGCGCGCAGATGGCGCGGGCTGCTAGCGGGCGGCGCGCGGCCGGCAGAAGCTGCGTGCGGGCTGCGCGGGCAGCAGGCGGGCCGCGCGCGGGCCGGCAGGAGTTGCGCGCGGGCTGCTAGCGGGCGGCGCGCGGGCCGGCAAGAGCTGCGCGCGGGCAGGCAGGGGCGACGCGCGGGTCGCACGGGATGCAGGCGGGCGAGGCGCGGGCTGCAGCGGCGGTGCGGCACAAGGCAGGGCAGGGCGTGCGCTGGGCTGCGCAACGCAAGGCAGGGCAGGGCAGGGCGTGCGCTGGCGGCGCAACGCAAGGCAGGAAGCGGGGTAGCGCGGTAACCGCAGTCGGTTGGTGGGCCCTAAAAAAAACGGTCCTAAGCACCTACTGCTCTGAATACCATGTCAGAACTAAGAGCACGAATGAATGAACTAAGAGAGTGTTGGGTACAAATAGAAACCCTAAAGCGGTTGTATCCCATGTTGGCTACCCCACTACAGGCTGTATATTATACTATAGCATATATAGTTTGACATAGTCGAAAGAATTTGTCAAACTATAGTGCTGCTTATGTTGTGTAGGCTGTAGTGGGGTAGCATAAATGGGGTACAACCCAATTAGGGTTAGCACTTGTA